ATTGTGTGTTATCGATCTGTTCAGTTTTTTTATTTCTTCTTGATTCGGTCTGGGTGGTTTGTGTGTGTCCAGAAATTAAACTGTTTCCTCCAGATTTTCAAATTTGTTGGCATATAGTTGTTTATAATAGTCTCTCATAATTCTTCATATTTCTGTGGTATCAGAAATACAATGTCTCCTCTTTCATTTCTGATTTTTGTTATTTGGATCTTCTCTTTTCTTTTTTCAGTTAGCCTAGCTAACAGTTTGTCTGTTCTGTTTATCTTCTCAGAAAACCAACTTTTTGTTTCATTGATCTTTTGTATCATTTTGAGGTCTCTATTTCACATAGTTCTACTCTGATCTTAATCATTTCTCCCCATCTACTAATTTTGGGATTGGATTTTTCTTGTTTTTCTAGTTCTTTGAGGTATAGCATCAGGTTGTTTATTTGAAATCTTTCTACATTAGTATTGCTTTTACAGTATCGCACAGATTTTGGTATGATGTGTCTTTATCTTGATTAGTTTTAAGAAATTTTTTGATTTCCTATTTATTTTCTTCATAGATCCATAGATCATTCAGTAGAATGTTATTTAATTTCCATGTGTTTATATAGTTTCCAGAGTTTCACTTTTTTTTTTATTTCTAGTTTTAATCTACAGTGGTCTGAAAAGATACTTGAAATTATTTCAATATTTTAAAATTTGTTGAGACTTGATTTGTGATCTAACATGTCCATGATCTATCCTGAAGAATGTTCCATGTGCTGCAGATAAGAAAGTATATTCTGTAACTCTTTAATGTAATGCTCTATAAATATCTACCAGATCCAATTGGTCTAATGTGTAAATTAAATCCAGTGTTTTTCTGTTGATTTGTTGCCTAGATGATCTATCCAATATAGAGAGAGGGGTGTTGAGGTTGCCTACCATTACTGTATTGGAGTTTATTTCTCTCTTTAGGTCTAATGGTGTTTGCTTTATATATCTGGGTGCTCCGGTGTTGGGTGCACATATATTTATGATTGTTGTGTCTTCTTGCTGGATAGGTCCCTTTTTAAGTATATGATGGCCTTCTTTGTCTCTTTTTGTGTTTTTTCATTTAAAGTCTATTTTATCCAGTATAAGAACAGATACTCCTGCTCATTTTCTGTTTCTATTTGCATGGTATATCTTTTTCCATCCTTCCACTATTATTCTGTGTGTATCTTCACAGGTGAGGTGAGTATCTTGTAGACAGCATATAGTTAGGTCTAGCTTTTTAATCCAATCAGCAAGTCTGTGTCTTTTGAGTGGGGAATTTAATCTATTTACAGTTAGGGTTGTTATTGAAAGGTATTGTCTTACTCCTGGCATTTTATTGATTTTTGTTTGAGATTCTTCCCTTCTATACCTAATTTGTTGTGCTTTTATCATGAAAGAATGTTGAATTCTGTCAAATACTTTTTCTGTGTTTATTCAAATCACATGATTTTTGTTCTTTATTCTTTTAATGTGATGCATTATATTTATTGATTTACAGGCATTGAACCAATCTTGCATCCCTGGGATGAATCCCACTTGATCATGGTGAATGATCTTTTGAATGTGCTGTTGAACTCAGTTTGCTAGGAGGTGGTATAAGTATGAGAGTCACTGCCCTTAGGCCTGTTATCTTATATTTGCAAAATGGCTATCAGAGCTTCAGCATTCAAAGGAAGTAAACAGGGGTGTAATCAGGACAGCCAGAGAATACTCTTTCAAAAACTCCACTCTTATCATAGAAAAATAGCCTTTTCCAGAAACACACTTTTCTTTGCATTTAATTGGCCAGAATTGGATTATATGCCAGCCCATAAAACTATCAGCAGGAAAGCAATAGGATTTCATACTTGGTTTATAAGAATTATGACTTAACTCCTGGGACTAGTACATTGGTCACCTAATAAAATCAAGTGAAGAGGAGACTTCTAGCTGTGGGTAGGCAACTAATAACATATGCCATAAGGACAAAAACTTTTTATAAACTATATGGTTTCCCTCATAATAACAAGGCATGCTTGCTGAGAAAGTAAAACTGATACTCTTGTTTATGAGTACAACCATGTGGTGACAACATACACATGGTTTATAAATCCTACCATCTACCAATTTTTAATTTTTCAGTTTTTTAGAAAACATTTTTGAAAGGTGGGTTGCATTATTTTAAATTTTGTTTATAAAGAAATGTTTTAATATTTTATATCACTTTTTTCTTAATTCAAATTCTCATTGTATGTGACCACACTATACTTGATGCATAATTAAATATATATTTTTCCTTTTTTGAGGATGCTTTCCTTCTTTTACCTTGATTTTTTTTTTTGCTTATTCCTGTATTTGCTTGTTTGATTTGCATACAAATATGTACATTAGATCCTGCCTTTTCCTGTTTATTTGATGATGTCAAGCACTGTATGTAAGAATAGTATTATGATTTGTTTCCTAAGAGTTCTTTTAGACCAAAACTTTCTAAAATGAAACTTGTTCTACCACAAGTACTCTAGAATCTATGTCCTTTTGGAAATATTTGTAAAGAACACTGTCAAAGGTAGGTATTCCTGAGAATTTATTTCTTCTTGCCTATTCTGAATGAAAAAAAAGTAGGAAAACAAGCTTTCTATAATTTCAAAAGGGTTTCTGCAGGAGAAGTCTTTTAAGTTTTGTTTTGTTTTGTTTTTGTAAAAGTTGGATAATAGATGCCAGAGAATGTCGATTTGTTCTGAATAATGAAGGTCAAAGAATCTGAAGAGATTGTGATGACTGTGAACAGGTAGAAAATCCTGGAGGGGTAGGAGAAGGCAAAGAAGCTATGTGACTCGGGGGAAAGGGAGAGTAAAGGAGAGTTCCTTGTGATAGGATGGCTCAAAAGGCCTCTGAGGAACAGGGATGTCTAAATGGATTGCCAGCTTATCTGCTATAGAATGTTCAATACAAACTCCTCCTTTTCTGTTTTCTCTAGCAAATCTTCAGTAAATTTTACATCACTTACTGGTGCTTCCTTGCAATTAGACTTTATTTTGAGTGGGAGAGAGCATTCAAAGTTGTGTTGAGATTTTGCTTCTTCATCCACATGGGGCACTTGGAGAGAAAACACAGAAGCACAGGGGCCCAGAGGCAGAGTGGACCATGAGAAAGTTAGTCTCTAGGAATTTGAAGAAATTCTGGGGATGTTTTCCCAGAGGCAGAGTGGACCATGAGAAAGTTAGTCCCTAGGAATTTGAAGAAATTCTGGGGATGTTTTCCCAAGTCATGGAATTGGGGGATTGAGGAAATTCTATATAAATTTCAAGTGCTGTGGAGGACTTCAGTGCAACCTGGATTTACTTCTGGTTTAGCCAGTGAAGTACCTGAATTGTCTCTGAGGCCCCAGAGGAAAAAAAGGTTTTATATCTGGGAGAGGCCATATTCTACTTGGGAGAGAATGCCCTATTCCTCTGCCATTAATGTGCATACAAGTGTTTTAATTCATCAGGGGATATATGGAACATCTTGAATTCAGATGATAAAGCTAGTGAAGAAGAGAAGTAGTGCATTGGTGAGATATTAGTGTTAAGGAGCTGCCTGAGGCACTCAGGAAGAGGATCCAGGAAAGGAGAAGAGAAAGAGGGATTTCTGAAGGCAGACTTCACTAAGCAACTACTATGTGTATGGAACCATAGGCACTGGTTGCAACATGGAACATATGTGTAGGAACTGGGAGATAGAAACACATTTGAACGTGAAGCATTCACATTCTAGAGAAGAAGACAGACAAGAAAGAAACAGTAAGAAAAGTACTATAGTTGTATAAAAGAGGTATAGGAGTGGCATGAAATAGAAGTGACCACTTTTGATGGGAAAATTGGGGAAGGCTTCATAGAGGAGAAAATGTTCAATGTTTTATATTGTATGAATGTGTAGATTGTGCAGTATACTGAATGGAAACCCCTAGAATTGTGCAGGGCATATTCTGCATAGCCAAATGCAATGTCCATGGGAATGGCTGGGTATCAATAAATGGTATTTCCTGAATCTCTTGTTTGTTGACAGCACTACACTTCCATTTGCCCAGCCTTGCAGTAACTTTGCCCAGAGTGATCTCAGCCTAGAATCTTCTCCCCTCCATACTTCTCAACACTTACTTTGGGAAGGTCCTACCCATTTATAAATTTTTAGATAAGAGATCATCTCCTTCTGTATACCCACATTCATAGCAGCATTAGTCACAACAGCCAAAAGATGGAAGCAACCCAAGTGTTCATCAACAAATGAATGGATAAGTAAAATGTGGTATGTATTTACAAAGGAATATAATTCATCCTTAAAAAGGAAGGGAATTCTGACACATGCTACATAATATGGATGAAACTTGAGGACATTATGCTAAGTAAAATAAGCCAGCAACAAAACAAATACTGTATGATTCCATTTATATTACATACCAGTTCCTACACATACGTTCCATGTTGTTTCTATACCTTGGCTATTATGAATAATGCTGAAATAAACATGGTAGTGCAGTTATCTCTTCAACATACTGATTTCAATTCCTTTGACTATATCTCCCGAAGTGGGATTGCTGAATCATATGGTAATTCTATTTTTAGTTTTCTGAAGAAACTTCATACTGCTTTCCAAAATGGCTGTATGAATTTACATTCCCACCAACAAAAGACACCATTTATTTTTAAAAGCAGTATCATTTTATTAATGGTGTTATAGGAGAAAAACACACTATCTTTTTTAGCTGTACACATTGATATTATGACTTATCTTGATTTCAGAAACTTTAAAGTATGGAGAAAAAATATTCTTAGAATAGATAACATGGTATTCATAAGTTATTTTATTTCTTCTTGCCGAGACTTCCTCATTCTCATAACATGTATACGGGCTCACACATGACAAGATATGAAATTTTATCCCCGTGGCCTTTGACAATCCATAGTACTACACCTTTAAAAGAGTACAGGTCAAGAAACCTAATTTAATTGAGCCACAGGAAAGTAATGGCCTCACCTGGTCATAGCCTGACTCTTCTGGGGCACTGGTGGCCTCTTATAACCTTGAGTTAGACCTAAGGAGTTGCTAAGCACCTGGGTCTGGATGTGCCAAGTTCCTAGAATTCCCAGAAGCACAAGGAGAAAAATCCCCTTCCCCAGGAAAATCCATTTCACTGGGCAATAGGTGCTTTCAGCTTCCTTGGAACCTGAAACAGAAAAAGAAGAATGAGAGAGGACAGAGCACGTACATGTAAGTGGAAGGGGGTTGTGGCAGGACCAAGGGCTGCCATGTGCTCTTCTCAGCTCCTTCTAAAGCCCCTCAAAGTGTTTCCTAAGGGTGCTGGAGAGACCAGAAGAGGCCAGTTACCAGCACAAAGCTGCGCAGCAAGGATGAGAGTGGCGTTGACACTGCTAACAGGATTCAGAGCTGTGAAGGTGTAGGTCTGATCCAGATCATAAAGGCTCCAGGAGTCACGGAGGACAGATCCTTCCTCGGACACAACAGCCCCTGGTCCCATAGGTGTCCACTTATACACGATAGTCTCTCCTCCTTCCTCCACAGAACACCTCAAGGTGGCACTGCAGGTCCTGTTTTCAGAGATGATGGAATCCACTCTTACTTGAGGCTTTGGCAGCCGCACTGCTTGAAACAATAGTTTTAAAAGATACAAATAGCAATCAAGAGCCTCTTTAGGACATCCAAAGAGGAGAGAACTCAAGCAATCAGGTGAATGGAAAGGGGAGAGAGCACAGCAAGACATCTAGACCCCTTCAGAGAAAAGATCTCTGATTCCTCCATTTCCAGCCCCTGAGGGGCTGAATAAAGAAAAGGGCAAATTGTGTGATGTTTTTCAACCAGACACAGCCATCAGCCAAGGACAAAAAAGAATAAGAAAACAAAAAGCAAAATTCTACCTAGGAAAGGTTCTGTACTGGTCAAAGAGTGAAACTGGAGGATCACTTTTACCAAGACTCTTCCAGCCCCCCAGGCTTACCAGCAGGGGCCTAGTTCTTTATGCCCTTACTCACTGAAGATCCTCAGAATGTAAGTGAAGAGGAATGTAAAGGTCTCTGTGGTTATCTGGGCACCATAGGATCCTGTGTCTGCCATTGTCAGGTTGCTGAGCTGCAAGGAGTAGGACCTGGTGAAGTTCATTCGTTCTCTCCTCTTTTCATCAGTCACATGGATTAGTGGACTTCCTGCTCCACGTGCCTTTATGAAGGCGATAGACTTTCCATTGTAAAGCCAAATAATGGCCTCAACCGTCTCTTCTGCAGGAAACTTCAAGTGAAGAGTTACTGACTCCCCCAGCACCCCGTTCACTATCAATGGGGTTGAGCTGCTTTGTGAAACTGCATTCCCTGTAAACACAAAAGGAAAAGCTGAACTTGGCCTCCACCCCTCCCCCACCCCCACAAGTCTCCTGGTCAGTCATAGCTCTTCCTTGTTAGGGCCCAGAAGAATAAACAGTTATTAGTAGTGGTGCTGTGGCTGGAGCTTGAAGTGGGCAATGCTTAAGTTTTCCTTCCCACTGACATCTCCAGGGATCACCCTGGGGATCCTTCCTGCTGGGATCACTTCCCCATCCCAGGGTTTGTGTTCCCCTGAGGGATACAAGCTCTGGAAAACCAGAATAGAGACCACTGGTGAAGTCAGAGCCCAGCCCTGCCCTGCCTGGCTCCTCTTTTTTCTTTAGCTTTAGATTTCAACTCTCATGACTTTGTATTTTCTGAAATGCTTCCCTCCTCCAGAACTGGGATTTCAATATCATTGCAGTTCTATGTCTCAATAGTAAGTGGTGTAAGGATCCCAGATGACAGACAGGACACCTGCTTCTTAGTCCTGATCCTGCCTCTTTCTAGATGTACAACTTTGGGCAAGTCTGTCGATTCCTCTAAGCCCCTCCTCTTCCTTCATAAAACAAGTTAGATAGAATGCAAAGCCTTTCAGTTTCTTTCCAACTCTCACATTCACAATGCTGTTTATTCTATGTACCTCAGACTTTTCTGTTTTCCTCTTCCCCTCCCTCTTCTTCACTCTCCACTCAGTCTTTTTCTCTCAGGTCCTAGAGTCCCTCAACCTTTTCTTTCTGCCTCGTCCCCCAGTCTCTCTAACATGGGATCCTCCGTTCTGGGAAAGTCCTTGGTGTGCAGCGCCCACGTGGACCTCCACGTCTGGGAAGGTCAAGCTACAGGGGAGAAGCCCCTGATTCACTCACCTTCCTGGGACTGGAGAAGCAGGAGGAGGAAGAGAAGCTGAGCAGGAGGCCCCATGCTGGCAAGACTGAGCTGGTTTCCCTTAAGGGTCACAAAGATTTAAGAGGAAGGTGGAAGAGAGCAGCAGGTCCTATTCTGTAGCACAAACCTCTGTTAGTTCCCCATTCCGATCACAGTTTGCTAACCACTTCCTTTGTTATTTTAATTGACCCTGACTCCCACTTAAGCTTCTGTCCTTAAAGTCACAGATAGCTCAGAAATACAGATCCCACTTTAAAGGAACCTAAGAGGCATAAGCAAATGGTTTTCATACAACTGGTGACCCTTTTCTGTAAATTTTCCTCTTACCTTACAACACAAAATACACCTTGCATGGTTTACAAAGCTAAATGAGAATAAAACCAGCAAATGCTGATACCTCCAAATAACTGATAGGAATTAAGTGGAAGGTTGGTCTGCCCCAGCATTGCACTTTCTAAACAAGTGCAGTGCAAGTCCTCAGCAACAAAATCCCCAGCACTATTGGCATCTATGGCCTCACATAATCTGGCTTTGACCCCACACTGTCTAGTATCTACATGAGTCTTTGTGGAGGATACCAACATTAAGAAAGCAAATGTAGTTTTAGCAATGCCAAAGCCCTTTAGTTTAAGGAATCGCCTGCCTTTTTAGAATTGCACATAGTAATGCTTAGCTTGGGAAAAACAGAAAACTTTCCCAGGACTAAAGTCTCTGTTGTAGATAAAAAAAAAAAAAAATTGTGACACAGCAAAAATGCCTGCTATAAAGGCAGTTGTCCTTGGTGCAGCTAAACCTAATGATGGGAAAGTATGTGAGCTAAAAGCTTCAAGGCTGCTGGTTGAGGGATGTTCCTCATCTCACCTTCAGCTGTTTCTTTGAGTTTCTTGGGGACTGAGTGTTGCCATGACAATTATCTCATTGTTCCTTTTGTAACCACCTATGCTCCTTTTCTGTAACTTTCTTGCCTGGGGAATAAAAACTGAGAGAAAACCTCATTTGGGGTTATTTCTAGGAATCCTGATCTCTTGAAGGAATTGGTCCAGGGATTAACCCCTTCTGGGCCTCTCACTGCTCTGGAGAAATGGACTTTGAGTAATCCTTTGCATCTCCATCCCCCTGGGAGAGGTCACAACTCTCTTTCCTATTTGACTAGGAGATTCATTTTTGACCCAATGCTTCTTCGGACATGACAGTAGACGTTGTTACATAAGGCAGCATTCATAAAATATCAGTGGTAAGTAACAAAACCCAATGCAAACTAACTTGTGATTGGGGGGGGTGGCAGGTATTAAAAGACTAAAAAGCACAATGGCAAGAGTGTAGCAGGACTCAGACAGCACAGGATCTAGGAAATGAGAACCAAGGGGAAAGAAAATAGGACTCTGTCTCCTGACTCTGTTCTCTGTGTTTCTGATTTCTTCTTTTCTTTCTGGATCAGCTCTCTCTCTATCCACCTCCGTACTGGTAGAATGTACCAGTACACGGCTATTACAGCTGGCCATACCCAGAAACTCATCACCATCCTTTATTTCTCTCTCTTCTTTACTTTTTCCTTTTCTTCCACTTCCAAATTCCTGGAGAAGGGTTTCTGGTTAGGGCTGTAGGATCATGTTTTGCAAATTTGCCTGCTTTATTCCTACTTTCCCAAATTTGAGAAATTAATGATATTCTTGTGAAGTGAGCTAACAATACAAGAGGATCAGCTTAACATAGGACTGCTTTTAGAAATTCTCAACCAAACACTAAAATTGGGATAATGTTACGTGAACTAAGATACCTACCTCTCAGAGTCAATAATTGTCACTATTTTTGCCACTTTCATTTCACCTATATATTTTTTCTTCTTGTTCGAGTATTTAAAGCAAATCCTAGGTATCACGCCATCATTTCTACATATTTCAATATGCGTTTTTTAAATACATATATATACAAACACATTCATTTTCTTATATACTTTCAATGTCATTTTCACAGCTAAAAAAGTGAAAAATAATTCATTGGTATTATAAAATACCCAGTCCATATTTAAAGTTCCCCCAATGGAAGAAAACATTTTGTACTTGGTTTTGTTTTAATCACGATCCAAACAAGATCCTTACACTGCATTTTGTTATCGAGCTTCACAAATATCCTCTAATCTAGAGAAGTCAGTCCTCCTTCACTTCCTCCTTTTCTTTTTCTTCTTTTTTTTTTTTTTTTTGAGAGAAGTTTCTCTCTTTTTCACTTCCTCTTTCACTTTTAAGTATCATTATAAAGTCATGAATTTTTTTATATTCAATGTGTTTCAATCAACTGCAAACATTATTATTTTGGTGCTTAATATTTTCTCATCTTTGATCAATGTGAGACCTTTTATGTTGGTCCCCATGTTCTTTTGACATTCCTTGGTTAGTCTTCTAAAATTTCTTTGAATTATTGAACAAGAAGGTGTCCCAGGCTCATCTTGTTTATTACCTGCTTCAGACATGAAATCAGTCATTCCTCCAAAGATGCTTGATTCTTTTAACGGGAAATGGTACTTAGAGACCACAATTTTGTTACTAAGCATACACATTGGCATTGGGTTGCATTGCTTCCAGACCTTTCTAGTGAATAGAAATAGGAAATACTTACTTCTTTAAAGAAAAAAAATAGAACAAAAGTTTGCATGCATTTTCCCAATTTTCATTTAAATTCTTTGACTTTACATGTATCTCTTTTTCTTACAAGAGAAAATCTTGTTTCCTAACAGCACAAATGTAAGAACTAGTTTTATTCTGGAAAAAGACAAATACATAGTTATAAAATAATAATACCAGAAATTTTTATGGCAACAATAAACACTTAATGAGTATAAGATTTCTTTGCAAATCTATTTATCCTTAGAATATTCTTTTTTTTTTTTTTTTAAGATGACCGGTAAGGGGATCTTAACCCTTGACTTGGTGTTGTCAGCACCACGCTCAGCCAGTGAGCGAACCGGCCATCCCTATGTGGGATCCGAACCCAGGGCCTTGGTGTTATCAGCACCGCACTCTCCTGAGTGAGCCACGGGCCGGCCCTATCCTTAGAATATTCTTTATTTAGAATGTACATTTAAAATATTAGGACTGGTTTTCCTGCCATCAAATCAGTTTAAGATAAAAGAGGGCTCTCCACGAATCTGCCTTATTACCACAGCCCTCTGACCAAGCGAGACTGTGAGACCTTGCTGCTCAAGAAGGGGGAGGATGGTAACTTTCTGTTAAGAGACAGCGAGTCGATGCCAGGAGTCCTGTGCCTCTGTGTCTCATGAGTAGCCTCATTGTCCACACATCTAGAATCTTAGGCCAAGTGTAGCCAATGGCAGCCACATATTAAAGGAATTAATATTCCTTAGTATTCCACTCTGACTTTGCAGCCTCAATGAGTGAGAAACAGCTAGACAGTGCCAGGAGACGATGGAAGGAATGCATCAGTCCGTGATCTTCCATCTGCTGTCCTCTCCCTGGTGGAAATGCCACATGAGCAGCAGAAGGGGGTGGGATGGAGGTGAAGGGAAGGGCTGCAGGAAGCATGGGGGTGGTGGTGAATTGAATTATGTCCCCCCAAAACTCACTGAAGCGTGAATTGTGTCCCTCAAGTTTTATGTATTAGAAACTTAGCTCCCACTGTGACTGTTAAGAGGGTGGGAAATCCTATTATGGTAATTGAAAGGTGGAGCCTTGAAAAGGTGGTTGGATCGTAGGACATTGCCATAGTGAATGGATTAAAAAAAGGTGGTCAAGGGTGTGGTTCTGAGGGCTTTAAAAGAAGAGAGAGGAGAGTTAGTCTCTCTGCTCTCTCTGCTTCCACCATCTTGCAACATGAGACCCCTGAGTCACCGTTGCCACCACCAGATGGACTTTGGACTTCCCAGCCTCAGAAACTATAAGCAATAAATGTTGTTTTTCTTTATAAATCACCCAGTTTCAGGTACTTTGTTATAAGCAACAGCAATGGACTAATACTGGGGGTGAGAGGGGTGGAGAGAAGGTAGAAATTCCGGAAATGTTCTCTCATTCAGAATTTATTTGGTATGGAAAAGGCTAGGGGCATTTTCAAATTTTAATTTGAAAGACCAAGTTTTTATATGCATTTCACCACCTATGCCTGCAATACTTAAAATACTAATAATTATTTCACATTTTATTTAGATTTATAAAACATATGTCATTTGTTCTTGTCTTAATAAAGAATTCTGTAGGCTAGTGTGAAGTTTCGTTTCAAATTTAAATATGCAGTTGGTGTTGGGTTCCTAAACCTATGATTGAACAATCTACCAAAATATATGATATTAGAGGTGCTTTTCCTTTTTTTGGAACTAGTGTTTAAATTTTTTCAGAGGGCTAGTAATTTTCACATATTAGAATAGTGTCAAAGGCGTATTAGGATAGTATCTTCTATCTCAGGTGCACCAATATACACAACTACATTCAGCTGAATACAAAAGCACTTTTAATTTTATGTAGCATACTATATTTATTAATGTGATCAACTGATCTTAAAACCTCATTCATCTCTATAGAAATCATTTTTGAGGGTATTCCACATGCCAAGCATTAGTATAAACTTGGAAGAAGTTACCAGCAATGATGTAAAATATTATTTCCTTTAGGAGAATACAGTTCATGGAAAGAGCAAACATATAAATATAACTATATAACTACTATACTTTTTTTTGAAGTTGTTACAACAAGCAAACGGAAAGGACATTCTTGGGGGGGAGGGGAGAGAGGGAGGAGGGCGGAAGGTGTCGGTGAAGGGCCATAATAATCATATACATTGTATATTGACAAAATAAAAATTTAAAAAAAAAGCAAATATAAATATTAACAATTTTTATAAATAAGTAAGCAGGCCCTGAATTCCTCAAATTATTTGCTCTTGTTAAAACTCCTCTGATAACAGGCCAGAATATCAGAACTATCTTGCTGAACTGATTACAGTGTAGAAAGCAAAGCTGAACAAATATAGTTTTGGCCCCCAATAAAATATGGACCACTAAAATTTTCACCTTCTAAATCTTATAGGAATTAAAACCAGAGTATA